ATCCAGGTGGTAATTGTGAAAGTCTGACTAAGACTATGGCCACAGGAATGGGGAGGAGGGGCTAAACGAGAGAACATATTTAGAAAACAGAATTGACAGGTTCATGACTAATTGCATCTCAAGGTAACAGAGAGCAGGATGTCCTTGAAGCCTTCCAGTTTTCTGACTTTGATAATTGGCAGGTGATGGTGACGTTCATCCTGGTAGGGAACAGAAGGGTAGAACAGGGGAAGAGATTTAGTTTGGGGATCCAGGGGAGTCCACTTGGAAATTCAGGTGCAGGGTTCGTGAATAGCTCTGGGCCAAATCTGAAAAGTTGAGAGTCACTGGAATACCGCATCAGTTGAATGCATAGGATTCACCGGGGTACTCAGAGGAAATATATAAGGTGAGAAGAGAGGAAAATGAGCAGGAGGCTGAATCCTGGGAACATCAACCTGTAAGAGATAAACAGTAAACAAGAACACCAAGAAAGAAGAAAGAGAGGGAAGGAAGAACCAAGGTGGGGTAGGGAGAGAATATGATCCACTCAACATTAAATGCTAGAAAAACAGAAAAAAAATGATCCCAGAAATGATAAGGAAAATAGCCATCACATTTGAGAATTTGAACGTAATTATAACCTCAGGACTGCAATTTCAGTGAAGAGGTGGATTGGTGTCAGATTACGGTGGGTTGAATTGGAGAACCACCATAGGGAAATGTGGGCAGGGAATGCCCAGACTCTTCCAAGGGGTTTAGCTTTGAAAGGAGAGAGCAGGAGACTAAGCCAGAGGACAGTAATTAAAGGGCAGAGGTCTTCAGAAAGGCTATTTGCTTTAAATTGGAAGACACTTTAGAAGAGCAGGAGAGCTTATTTACGTGCCAAGGGGGAGCCAGAAAAAGGGAGAAAGCGGGAGAAACATCACAGGATTTTTAGCAAGATTGTTAAGGGGACAGGGGAACAAGGGATATAGATCAGGGCCACTGGAATAGGCCCCCAAATATTTTCTTATCCTAGTTTATTTGCCTTCAACTGGAGAATATCCCTGAGACACATTTTAAGGATAGATTCAGAAAATGGATAAAGAACACTTCTTACATATTTTTGTCCCATCACTATTTATCAGAGATGGCAGTTATCCCTACAATTTTTTAATTCATTAAATCATTCCTCTGATCAATAATCAAGACCATTAAATTGTTTGTAGGGAATAAAAATAGCAACTCATTCAAGCCATTCAGAATCTAGCTTTCACTGCAGCCATTCAGAATCTAGCTTTCACTGCAGCCATTCAGAATCTAGCTTTCACTGCAGCCATTCAGAATCTAGCTTTCACTGGCTTTCACTGCAGCTCTGTCTCCAATCAGGCTGCCATGTTGGCTTGCCTACACATGGGCCTGGTGCCTTGGTACTGTTCCTGCCCCACCACAATATTATCCCCTTTATACAGACAGAGAGACTGAGGATAAAATTCCCATCTGTTGTGGCCTACCAGGTCTCTTACATTTGCCTTCTGCCTGTCTCTTCAATTGCATTGACAGCTAGGCTTCCCCACACTCTCTCCTGTACTTTTCTACCTCCAGACATTTGCCTGACTTTAACTGCTGAATGGAATGCTTCTTCATGAGCATTTTTTGAGGGTGGCTGTTTCATATCCTGCAGGTCTCAGCTTACGCGTTACTTCATCTCAACTGATGTAGCCCCCAGATTCCAATAGGAGCAAGCCTAATGCACTTCTAACTTTCTTCAAAGCATTGAAAACAATCTGTATTTATTTTATTTACTTTTGTTCACCGCCCTTCCTTTTCCTGCCAACAAAATGGGAGTTCCAGGAGGGCTGGAACCCCCCGCACCTGGTTTTGCCTTCCTGGTCCCCACTTCTAGTCAACAGTGCTTGACCAGAGTTTTAAGACTATGGTTCACGAATAAAAAAAGCTTTGCCAGTTTTTCAAAACACAGTTTAAATTGCAACTGTGTGGTGAAAACAAATAATAGATGGAATATATTGAGCACTTTATTCCAACATACTTTTATTCCAACATACACAATACTATATTATTTTATTTAATAAGAACCCTCCATTTATCTCTCATAACCCATAAAATAATTATAAGCCAGGCAAACACACTCAGTATTAAGTCACAAGTTAGTCTCTTGCTTTGTTATTTAACATATCACACACACCACTCTTTTTGTACCAATGATATAATTAGTGATTCCCCCATCGTCCCATAGTCCAGTCATAGAGAGTTCAAGATATGCTGCTATTGAAGGTCCCTCCAGGGAGATAATATAATAAGAATGTCAAGTTGTCTTTATTACATCAAGGCAGACACAGCCAGACATTAGTTAAAGCAATAAAAACAGATTTTATTTAGTAACTACAGACAGGAGGGTAAAGAGCTGAGTTCATTCAGACTTCTAGAGAACTAGGTCTTTTATTAAAGAGAAAATGAGGGAGTAAGGGGAGATGAACAGTAAGGGCTTGACAAGAGTTGGGGAATTGAAAAATTACCAAAAGTAGGAAGAAGGGGTGGTCATGTGAAACCCATCTAGGTTTGCTAACTGGTACTCATAGAAGTTGGGTTCCTACCCTGCAGGAACTTATTTTCAAGTAAGGGCTGGAACAAGCTGTAATTCTTTTGCCAGCCTTCAGTTTTCTCAGGCAGGCATTTTAAGAGGGACTAGAATGTGTCCTTGAGTTGTTAGTGTTTATTCAGATCTTTGCAGGCCAAGGTTGAGGCCTAGTCCAAAAGAGGGCTCAAAGGATCCTGATTAGAGTTTGGTTAAGAAGAGAATATTTGTCAGTTGTAAACTTGGGATTAAAAAAAAAAAATCTAATTCAATTTGCAAATGGACTAACCCCATCTACCGACAAAGATGTCAAAAATATTTACAACACGATTTAGTCTTTGAGGTTGAGATATGCAGTTCAACTCCCAGAAGAATTTACTAAAATCTTAACTTTCTAGAAAGAATCGTCTATTCTGTTAATAAATAAATAAATAAATAACCTATAAAACAAGTTATTTTACACCACACTGTGAACCCATAAGAAAGGGTTCCTAGCATTAAGAGCTAGCTGTTGGGTTTGGAAATGTCTGCTTTGCAGTGTTATGGAGTATGAAGCAGGAGCCCTGCAGTGTTGACAAAGATCGCAGGAGCCCCTTCATACAAAGTCCAGGCAGTGGTTTGGGGAAGTTGGAATCTACAGAGTTGGTGACTAAAGCTACAAGGATTCTCCCAGATTCTTCTAGATGTTTCTGCTATCTGGAAATTCTCTTCCACACCTCACTGTAAGTTTCAGTGATAACCTACTCTTTTAGGTTTGTGGCTCAGATCAAAAGAAGCCCCCTGGACTCAAAGGAGTCCTCCCTTCATCATAAAAGATGACATGGGGTAATCTGTTCTGTTTATTCGACCTGGGTAGGGCCCTGCCCAAGGCTGGCAGGAAGCTTGGAGTTCCCAAGGACTCTTATCTCTAGCACTCTACCCCTCAGAGCCATGAGAGTCATTTCTAAAATCATCTCAGGCTCTGAGTACACCTAAGAGTAATTTCCTTTTTTGGGTCCCACCCTGGAGCAGATGTGTGCATTTAGGAAAATGTCACCCAACCTGTCTCTCCCTGCCTGACAGGTGAGCTGGAAGCTCCTGTCCGACTGGGTGTTTCCTTGGGGACAGTTCCCCTTCTATGAGAGAGGGTGTTTTCTCTTAATTAGATCTTAAATTCTACAGGCCCAACTGTTCATTGCAGTAGAACCTGGGTGATGCTGTATTTTACCAAAGCCTCTTTTCAGCTTCATCTGTGCCAGAGAGGTAATTGAATGCCATGGTTCTAATGACACATTTTCCATTCCAGTTGCTTAAAGTTCCTTTTCTGATAAATAGTTTAGTAATTATCTCTTTGGGTCACCACCTGCCCCCCGGGGCACTGGTCTGCTGGGCTGACCTGTCCTGTTCATGTCATATTAGAGACCCTGTAAATTAGGAAGAACTCCTGCCATCTCCAGTCATATTATGATGCAGCTTCTTTATTTATGAAAGTGGAACGTGACTGTCTTTTCTCGCTTTAAATTAGTGAGAGGACAAGGCACCAACAGGGTAGCATCAAAGTGCCAGCTTTTCAAAGTTCTTAAATGTACAACATTCCGGACTATAGATCAGGTGAGAGGAAATGAGACAAAATGTAGGGTAGGGTCATGACCTTCCAGGGCTGTCCACAGCAGAGACAAGGTCTGGTATTCACTCAAAGGCTCAAATTTAGGTTCTAATAGTATCTCCAAGAGAGATCATTTAAAATACACCATAATGTTGTTGGGGACATAGCTCACCATAGGGAACTTGCCTAGTATGCACGAGGCCCTGGGATCAAACCCTAGTACCGCAAGCTAACAAAGAAGCCACTCGCAATCCTGACTTGGGAGCTGCTTTATTTTGTGGTTCCTTTACAACAAAAGTCTGATCCTTAAAAAAAATCTCTAAGAGATGCTGGTTCAGGGTCCCGTCAGCCGCGGGAAACAGGGTGAAAGAGTGATTTGGGAAGGCAGGTTTGGACTACAGGAAATTCGGGAACCACTCCAAAGCCTCCGCCATTTGCTCCGGGCGCCGCGGCGGGAGCCGGGTCGTGGGAGGTGCTAGCGATCAGCCGGGGCAGCTGACGTCACAGCCCCTCCACTACCTGAAGCAGAGCGTGGGCGGCTCGGGGGCGGGGCCGCGGCGGGGCGCGGGCTGCAGGAAGGAAATACGCAGGCTGGCTGACTAGGGTTGGCTCCTGCTGGAGGCGGTGTCGGGCTCCGCCGGAACTCCAGGGCTGACCTCGGCCAACTGCTCCAGCAGCGCGCAAGGGCTGTGGCTTCTTGCGGTTCCGACCACCGGAAGGACCGGCCTCTGCGCTGCTGGCATCTGTCCGAGGCCAAGCCGTTGCGGCTGCGAACGGGTCCATTTTTTGCTTCCTTTTTTTTTTTTTTTTTTTTCCCTAAATGGGATTGAACTCAGGGGCACTTGGGTACTGAGGCACATCCCAGCCCTATTTTGTATTTTATTTAGAGAAGGGACTTATTGAGTTGCTTAGCACCTCGCCATTGCTGAGGCTGGCTTTGAACTCGCGATCCTACTGTCTCAGCTTCCCAAGCTGCTGTGATTACAACTTGCGCCACCACGACTGGCCCCCCCCCCTTTTTTTTCCCCTTGGTTCATCCGGAAAAGCGAAAGGTGCAGAAGCAAAGCGAGGGATACATGCATCTACTGTGTCCCTACACGTGCGTGGTCCCAAGGGCTTGTGTTGTTTCCTGGTACCCACCATTAAAACGGTTTCAGGGCATACCAGTGTTTGGGGGTTTGCCCCCCAAAGTGAAAATTAATTGTTTAGCCACTTACAAGCTTGTACTTTGGGGAAAAGGTCCTCATACAGTAATGTTTCTTTCCGCACCCCATGGCTTAGAGTTTGACAGAACCTGGCTCCCCTGGGTTTACACCTCCCAGAGTTCTGGATGCCTGCTGGGAACAGTTTCCAGACACTGCCAATTTCGCCTATATTGAATGCCCTGCATCCTGATTTTTGTGTCTCATAGATCCTTGACTCAGTGAGACAGTCTTTAAGGTTTAGCTGAATGCCACAGCCCGGCCTCTTGATGCAGTCTGAATCCAGCAGATGTGAAGAGGAGACCCCATCCCTCTTCTGGGGTTTGGATCCTGTATTTCTAGCCTTTGCAAAACTCTACATCAGGGATATCCTGGGCATGAAGGAATCCGGCCAAGTGCCAGGTATGTGACTGGTCAGCCAGATGGATCCCTGTGTTGCATCTGCACCCTCTTTCCCAAAAGTTGCAGAAAGCAGAGGCTTAGATGCTTTAAAGAGAATCCTCTCTGCTTAGAACATGACCTAGTTTGGACCTTGGAATGAGCTAAAGCAGTCTCAAATTAAAAAAAAAAAAAAAAAAAAAAAAAAGATGCCCTGGGGAAGTTACCTTTGTACTAAGGAAGCTTTTTGCCTGTGTTCAAGGTCTTCCATATTTAAAAATGTTCAGTTGTCTTTCTTTGGATCTGCCCTTGGTGTTAAAAATCATCAAACCAATTGTTCCTAGGCCTCTTGTGTCACTTGCCTTTGTGAGTGACCCACCTTCTGTAAATCTTAGATTTCTTCATTGTAAAAATGGTTATTAACCATGATTGATTTTGGGGGAGTTTGTTTTGAATTAATTAGAATCAAAGAACTATGAACTCCATAGGGTAAGAACATCGTCTGTCTTGTTCACCTATGTAATCACAGTGCTTTAAGCAGTACCTGGCATGTAGTGAGGGAGCCCTCAAGAAAAGGCAATTGAAACAACAAATTACACATATAAAGATAAATAAAAGTTGTTCATTAGGCCAGGGGCTGTGGTGCACTCTTGTAATCCCAGCAATTTGGGAGGGTGAGGCAGAGGATTGCAAGTTCAAGGGCAGCCTGGGCAATTTAGTGAGATCCTGTCACAAAATTAAAAGGGCTAGGGATGTAGTGGAGTGCCCCTGGGTTCAAGCTTCAGTACCTCAAAATAAAATTTGGTAGAGTAATGGCTACTACAAAGGCTTATCATACCTTAAAAGTACAACAAATAGAGTTTGGGGTAAATTTGAATAACTGGAATAGCTGTGGGTGTGTCTTCACATGTTTACTGTGCTATACTGTAACAGTGGTCCACTTTATGCTTTGAATAAAGCCCTTGCTGCTCTGCCACTGCGAATTATTTTTAAAATAAACATGTTTGTTTCCCTTTCTCTCTCCCTGCTACTCTCTAATCTCTCTCCCTCCCTAATCTCAGAGGAAACTTCCCCATTTTAGGCAGATTTATCTGTCCTTGAGTACACAACCACCATCCCAAGGAAGTGAAGTAATTCAGACTTTGGGGATGGTACCAGAAGATCTCTGAATTTACTGTCTCCCAAATTAACAAATGAATTACAACTTCTACAGAGAACACATGGAGTGTAACCTTTGAATCCCTTCTTTAAAAGCCCCCTATTCCTACTGTTGAGCAGAATCACACAGTCTTTGGGACAGGAGTTGTCTGTGTTTCTCCTTTATTAGCAAAGCAATACACCTTCTCTTTCCTTTTTCTCAAAACTGTCCTTGGGGCTGGGGTTGTGGCTCAGTGGTAGAGTGCTCTCCCAGCACGCCAAAGGTGCTGGCTTCAATCCTCAGCACCACATTAAAATAAAGGTATTGTGTCCAACTACAACTAAAAAAAAAAAAAAAAAATTAAAAAACAAACTGTGTCCTTGTAATTGGTTTGGTATCAGGGACAAGGACCAAGCTTCGAAAACAGTATGAGAAGTTTGGTTATACACTTTTTTTTTTTTTTTTTTTTTTGGTGCTGGGAATTGAACCCAGGGCCTTGTGCATGCCAGGCAGGCACTCTGCCAACTGAGCTATATCCCTAGCCCTCAGTTGTACTCTTTTTGCTATTTTGAGTGAAGCTTTCCAATCAATAGCTTTTTAAATATCAAGCTAGGGGCTGGGATGTGGCTCAAGCGGTAGCGCGCTCGCCTAGCATGCGTGCGGCCCGGGTTCGATCCTCAGCAGCACCACATACCAACAAAGATGTTGTGTCCGCCGAGAACTAAGAAAAAAATAAATAAATGTTAAAATTCTCTCTCTCTCTCTCTCTCTCTCTGTCCCCCTCTCTCACTTTCTCTTTAAAAAAAAAAATAAATAAATAAATAAATAAATAAATAAATATCAAGCTATGTGCCAGAATGGTCAATGATCTTGAGTATCCACAGGTTTAAGTGGTGAACTTTTATGTGATTCCACTTATATGTACAAATATATCTGAATGGTTTTAACACTGAAGCCTTTTGTACAAATTTTTTTTCACCACACCTTTATTTCCTAATTATTGTTGGACATGGTCTGGTTTTTGCCTTGGAAGGTAGCCAGCCTCCCCCATAGTTTTCCACTTTCCAGAACAATCTGGTATTCTTTATAGCTCATCTCTAAAGGAAGAAATTCATTCACACCAAATGCAAGCCTTGCTTAAAGATCTGTAGGTGAGCAAACAAGTATCAGGGATATCGTAGAAGTTTCACTAGTACTGATTTTTGCTCCATTACTGGTAAGAGTGTTTCAAATGCATTTTGTTTTTGTTTTTGTGGTGCTGGTACAGAAAAAAGTGTGAGAGAGGGAGAACTAGAGACTTTATAAAATTTAGAAATGTTTAAACAGCAGAGAATATCTTAAAATAACAAAGGTTAACGAAGAAAATGATACAACATGAATCATATGTGTTCTGTAATAAAGAATGTGACTGGCCTTTGTCCTTGATCCTGGGAGGTAACCTTTAAATCCTTGGAATTCCCTGAGTGATGAAATGTCTTTGTTGTGGATGGTAGCCCCTTGGACCACACCTGCTGTGCTTATAGTTTCAGGATGGGGTTGTCTGTATCCAAAGAGCTTCCTTACTATTACAGGGTTGGGGTTTGGAGCCAGGGCCATCAGCCTGACCCCTCAGAGGTCAAGTTCAGTCATATGTCTAATGAATCAATCATGCCTACATTATGAAAGCCCAATAAAAATTCTGGAGTTTTCCTTGGAAGGTAGCCAGCCTCCCCCGTAGTTTTCTGCTTTCCTGAACAATCTGGTATGCTGAGGCTTAGATGAGCTTTCCTGGCTAGTGATCTTATATTGCTATGTCAGAGGATGATGTGTACTGGAGATAAAGAAGTTTCACATTTGGACCTTCCCAAACCTTACCCTTTTCTATCTCTTCATTTAACTGGTGCTGAATTGTATTCTTTGTTATAAAACTGTACTCCTAAGTATAACATCTTTCTAAGTTCCAGCGAATTACCAAATCTGAGGGATTCATGGGAATCCCTAGATTTGTAGCCAGTTGGTCAGAATGCAGATGGTCAGAGGATTCCCTCAAAACTTGGGGCTAGTGCCTGAAATGAGAGCAGTCCCGTAAGGGTTTGTATCCTAAACCTGTGAAATTTAACCTGGCTGGAGACTTAGTGTTAGAATTGCATTGCAAAATGTCATCTCCCTTAATCTGTGAATTTAGGGTTGAACTTATAAAAATATTGTAAAGTTTCTATGGTGGTGGTAATGCTTAGGTTTGGGGGAGTTTCTACATTTAAAAAAAAACAATTAAAAATAACAGCTCATAACATGAAAAAAAGGTCTTTGTTTCAAATGTTCCTATGATGTCAAATTTCAAAGATTAAACAAATAACAGCTTTGTTTTTCTTCTGTTCTTATATCATACACAACACAGAAGATTTCTCAAATCCCTAAAGATGTGAGGTTTTTCTCCTCATCAGAAAGCAAGCAGCAGGTTCTGCCATGGAACCAGCTGGGCATCCTATAGTCCAATTTTTTTTTTTTTTTTTTTGGTACCATGGATTGAACTCAAGGGCATTCGGCCACTGAGCCACATCCTCAGTCCTATTTTTTGTATTTTATTTAGAACAGGATCTCACTGAGTTGCTTAACACCTTGCTTTTGCTGAGGCTGGCTTTTAACTTGTGATTCTCTTAAGTTTTGATGTTATCTACCTGGAGATAGTGTCAGATCCCACAGGTTGAGGGTTCTGTCCCCAAGACTTCCCCTGCACAACTTCTGATGCCAGTTGCAAGTCCTGGGATGTTTTTATCTGTTCTTCTGACAAAGTGGCTCTAAATTAGTGTTTCCACAACCCCTTCTTCAGGTTCAACTAATTTGCTTGAACAGCTCTTGGGACTCAGGGAACACTTATATTTACTGGGTGACTATAAAGGACATTCTAAAGGATGGAGATGAAGAAATGCATAGTTAAGTTATGAGAAAAGTTCTGCTGAGCTTCCACGCCCTCTCCAGATGTACTGCCCTCTAGGAATCTCCATGTTCAACTACCTGAAAGCTCTGAAAACCTTATATTATGGCCTCTTATTCCATTATTGCATAGGCATAATGGGAGCATGGATAACTGGAGAAATATGATTGGACAATAAGGATAGGATATAATGCTAAGAGACTAGGTGGGGAGACCCAGCAAGGCCCTTCTGTTTAGATTCTTCTTGGCCTCTCTATCTAGTATCTTGCCTCCAAGGTATGTGGCAGGACCCCTTTGAAATGAGGAGGGTCTTAAGACCTACAACTGGACAAAGTAGGTCAGAGAATTCCCTTTGGCCATCTAAAGCAAGGGAAAACCAAAACCAATCCCTCATAGATAGCCAGGTATGACTGTATTTATAAGGATTATATTAAATGAATCTATATTTTAAAAGTATTTTATTAGTAATTTTATTGCTGTCATATTTCAATAAGAGCAATTATACATCCGTAAAATAACAGTTAAGCTGAAAATAGATCCATCAAAAGTATCTTTTAAGAGAGAAAAGTAGGCAAATAAGTTGCTGTGGTCATGGATGTTCAGGGTCTGCTGTTTGAAATCTGAGTCAAATCTATTGGTGACCCCAGGTCCCTCAGTTGTCACAGCTTGACCCTTCTCCTCTCGATGGTGTGAGGCTCCAGGGATCTCCTGGTTTTTGTAGGCCTCTGTGGGCTGTATGTGGATCAGCAGGAGCAAGGGGGCCCCTTGGAAAAGGCATGAACTGGGTGTCAGCTAGCATTTGTCTGTTGTGGTCATTTTCCCAGCCTGTTGGGCTTTCTCTCACTTTGCAGGGCTGTCATCCAGCTCCCTGGAGCTCTCTTCTCATAGGAGCGCTCTCACTCTGATGGAAGGAAGGGGTTCTCTGATTCTTTTTCTGTGTCCTTGGCCCTCTTCTTATAGAGGCCACGCATCTCTATTTGTGTGGTTCATGTTTCCGTGTACTTTGAGACATCTCTTCTGTCTTTGTAAGCAGTGTATTTCCTCCTCAGTGAATTTTCTCAGAGTTTTAAATGCAAACCATGTGTTATTTTCTAATACAGCTGTTGTCTTTTGTTCTGATTCTCATAAGTTTTTTTTTTTTCTTGCATCATTCCTTGGAGACGCAACATTTTTTGTTGCATCCTCAAGTGACTATATATCTTTTCAAAGGCAAGCCGTTGTCAGTTCACGAGGTAAAAGTTTATGGGGCCCACATCTGTCTTTTCTCAAAGAAGTCTACCGTGTCCTTAAGAAAAGAACTGTTCAGATTTTTATCAAGTGTTACCAGATACAGAGTTTGTAACATCAGAGGAGAGGCAACTTGGGGACATCTTTGGCTTGGGTCACTAGTCCAGTCACCTCACCTTCTTTTCCATAGACTTCAACCTAGGCAAAGCATCTTTTGTCTAGCTCTTTCCCCCATCATGGTTTTTCTGTGGATCCACTTTGTTCCCATTCAACCCAAATATTCCTGGATAGGGGTGACTCTCCTTTTGGGGAGACTCAGGCTCCTTCCCTTGTGTGACTGCCATTTTCAGCTCATGGCCTCCAAAGCTGCCCTGGGGATGATCTCCCATCCACCAAGTCATTTTTAGAAGTTGCCCTTTGCAGACGGAGAGGAGTCTGCTTTGGGCTAAATTTACTCTGTTTTCTTTCTTTAGACAAATATCTCATTCTCTTAGTGCCTCTGGCAGGCTAAGGCTCAGGGGCTCCTGTCTATACCCGGGACTCTGCCATGAGTGACTCATCTCTAATCATCCTAAAGGGGAACAAGAGAACCACCCACAGGGGACAGTTTGGATTCAGGCCACAGGTCCCACTGTGGCTTGAAATCCATAGGCTCTGACCAAACTTGGTGGGAAGGGGAGGAGGTGGCCAGATGCCTGAAGTGACCATGGCTTCTTTGTTTACATTTTATGCATTTATTTAAAAAGGAAACGGCCCAAACTGGGTGCAGTGACACTTACCTGTAATCCCAGTGATTCAGGAGGTGGAGACAAGAGGATCACAAGTTGAGGGCCAGCCTGGGCAGTTTAGCAAGGCTCTAAGCAACTTAGCAAGACCCCCATCTCAAAATCAACAAAAAGGCTAGCATATAGCTCAGTGTGAGGTGCTCCTGGATTCAATCCCCAGTGCCAGAAAGAAAAAAGAAAGAAAGAAATGGCCATTTAAAAGTTGATAACCTGTTTCTGAAAATAAACTATTAGCTACCAGTAAGAGAGGCCAGAGAGGAGGTCAGTCAGGACCCTTTGTGCAGGTGGCAGGAACACAGTGTTTAAGCTACAGTGGAAAGCTCAGGTAAGAATATGAGGGCCCCAGAAAGAGGTGCTGCAGAAGTCAGGAGCTTTGGGACTTCAGATCAGAGTCAGGGACTCAGGTAGGGTCCCTCTGTCTGCCTCTGTCACCAGGTCTGAAAAAGGCTGTGGGTTTAGTTGGGTGGGTTCCCCAGTCAGGTTTCTCCCTTGGCAGAACTTTGACTGACAGCATCTGTAGTTTGGGTTTTGAAAACAGAGTTTTGAAAAGAGAGGTTTTTTGAATTACAATCTGCTGGCCCTGAAGAGTAGTGTTTTGTAAACTATGTGTCATCTCCTTTTTTTTTTTTAACAAAAGGAAAAAAAAAAAGGAGGGGGTTCTGGCCAGTTCACAGAAATGATGACTGGTTTCTTAGAAAAGCACCGGTTTAAAAAAGCCCAGAAGCCTTTCTCATGGTTTCCTTTCTCTTTCTCAAAATGCAGTCCTGTGTGGGTCCCATCAGATGCCGGCTGTTGGTAGGCCCTTGTGAGCCTTCTTCACGAAGGTACATTTCTTTCTTTCTTTCTTTCTAAATTTACACATAACAGCAGATTGCATTACAATTCTTATTACATATATAGAGCACAATTTTTCATATCTCTGGTTGTATACATAGTATATTCACACCAATTCGTGTCTCTATACATGTACATTTCATAGTCACAACGGGAAGCAAATTCACCAAAGCTAGTTGGGCAACATCAGTTTTTTCCTGCACTACTCCAGACTTCTTTAAAGCCAAGCTTTCTGCCTCTGACCCTTGAGGAAAAGACCTTTAATTTTCTTGTAACTTGCCATTTGGCAAGGACTGTTTCTTTATCTTTTTCTTTTTACAGGGGAGGGGAGTGGCTACAAGGATTGAACTCAGGGGCACTTGACCACTGAGCCACTTCATAAGCCCTATTTTGTATTTTATTTAGAGACAGGGTCTCACTGAGTCGCTTAGCACCTCGCTTTTGCTGGGGCTGGTTTTGAACTCGTGATCCTCCTGCCTCAGCCTCCTGAGCCATTAGGAATATAGGCATGCATGGCAACTGTTTCTTAAGATTGGAATTTCAGCAAATAGCATACCACAGTGTTTTGACATCCCCACACCCTCCCGCAACAGACATTTAATGAAGCAGAAAATGTAATCATATATTATATGAACTTTGCCTCTTTTTTAATTTTAGGTATATTTTTGTACAATGGTCATCCAATAAAACAGGTAGATATTCTGGGGACCGTCGTTGGAATGAGAGAAAAAGATGCTTTCTACAGTTATGCAGGTAAGAACAATGATGTCTGAAATCAAGTTTATGTAGAAGGTCCTCACTTAGGTAAAAATTGAATTTTAAGCAGGCGCAGCCTTTCAGAGCATCTGGGAGCTAGTTCACAAAGCCCATTCCTCTGCTGGGAGCTCTTGAAGCCCCACATGCAGACTGAGTGAAGAATGAGTTAGGAATGATACTGAAGAATACTATAAAGGGACCACTGCTGGGGAGCCAGAAGGTAGGAAAAATAAAAGAGCAGTCTAGGATTACTGATTGACAGGGAGGACACTGATACCTACAGGCATAGCTAAAAATAACAAAGGACAGTTGTATGGATACAGATAAAGATGTAGATCTCTATTTTTTTTAAGTACCAGAAGTTGAACTCAGGGACACGTAACCACTGAACCACATCCCCACCCTGCCCCCTTTTTTTTTGTAAATTATTTTGAGACAGGATCTCACTAAGTTGTTTAGGCTGGCTTTGAACTTGTGATCTTCATGCTCAGCCTCCCAGTTGCTGGGATTATAGGCATGTGCTATTGTGCCTGGCCAATATATGTTTATAGTGATACCTTAAAAAGAAAAAAACAGATTAAAAAGTAGACCTTTTAAGAAGACAGAGAGGTGTAAAAATAACTTCAAAAGATTTCTATCCAGAATAGTTAAAAACAAAAAAAATTCTGGTACTCAAAGGGATAAATATCCACTATCAGAAAAGTTCCTTTCACTCACATGATGAAACAACCACTGTGGAAATCAGTATGGAGGTTCCTCAAAAACTAGGAATGAAACCACCACATGACCCAGCAATACCATTCCTTGGTGTTTATTCTAAAGATTTAAAGATTTCATCACTGTAGTGATCATGCATACCCATGTTTATGGTGCACAATTCACAATAGTCAGACTATGGAACTAACCTAGGTGTCTGTCAGTGGATGAATGAAAGAAGAAAATGTGGTATATATTCAAAATGCAGTCTTATTCAGCCATAAAAGAGAATGAAATTATGATATTTTCAGGAAAATGGATTGAATTGGTGAACATTGTGTTAAGTGAAATAAGCCAAACTCAGAAAGTCAAGGGTCAAATATTTTCTCTCATGTGTGGAAGTTAGAGAGGAAAAGGAAAAGAAAGGGGTTGGGGGTGCTCATGAAAATCGAAGGGAGATTGTCAAGACACGACTAAATTAGTCAGTCACTCCAAGTGAATTAGGGGACTAAATAAAGACAGACACAGAAACTACCTTTTCTTTGTAAATGTTCCTCAGCTGCAGCTCCACCAAGGGGGACAAGGCAGGCAAGAAAGAGAAAAAGCATGCCTGGGACCTGGATTTTATTGGGGAGAAGCCATTCACATGAGGCAAGGGGTCAGGTTTCAGGGGGTTGATGTCTGCTCTCTGAAGATTGACTGACATCTTGGAAGGTCACACCCATCTCACGTGCTGTGTGATGACCAAAGGCAGAGCAAGCAAAAGGGACAACTGCATGCACAGCCCAGACAGAGCAGCATCGTAAGTCCAGTCTGCTTCGTGCGTTCAAAATGCTCCCAGCTCACACAGCCCATGGCTGGCTCCCCACAGGAAATCAGTAGAACAGAGGAAAGGGACCAGAGGGAGGAAGGAAGAGAGAGAAAGGGGAAATACTGGGGAATGATATTAGCCAAATTATACTGTTATTTTGTGTGCGTGTACAAATATGTAACAATGAATCCTACCGTTGTGTACAACTATATAGTGAACCAATAAAAAAAGGAAAAAAAATAAAGGGTTTCTGTATTATGGATCAGAGAATTGCTAGAATATGATTTTAGAGTAGTGGGTCTTGATTTTTTTGAGTTTTATTTGAGCATTATAATACATTGCCTTATACAACTCCAAGAGTCTCTGTAGTCGAGAGGCTTTGTTAGATATTTGGTGAGAAGCTTGACTTGAATTCCAAACCTTTGTTGTAATTGACGCCGTCACTTTTTGTGGTATTATCTTGGATTTGCATTCTTCTTTTTTTTAAAAATATATATATATATATATTTTAGTTGTAGTTGGACACAATACCTTCATTTTACTTATTTATTTTTTACATGGTGCTGAGGATTAAACCCAGCACCTTGCACGTGCTAGGCAAGTGCTCTACTGCTGAGCCACAACCCCAGCTTGGATTTGCATTCTTGCTGTACTTCAGGAATAATAGAAGGTAATCAAACTTTGAGACCAAGAACATTTATTGACAGTCTATACATGACTGATCATTTGTAGATACAATGTCATTGCATTTCCTCAACATTTACTCTTTTTCCTGAAGACAACAGTCTCATGCATATTAAAATAGCACATGAGAGAGGAGATTTTGCTTGTCTTTCACTTTTTTTCCCCAGCATATATAAATTTTTAAATCAGCAATAGATCATTCTGTCAGGCACAACCATACAGAACCTGTTCTCTGTTTCATTTTATCAAAGACCCTGGTCCTGGTTTTCTCAAGACAACAAACATTTACTAAGTTCCTCAGTCCACTCAGCTGTGGACTATGATACAATGAAGTACTTCCTCTCTTGATACCAATGAGGAAATAATAGTGTCTTTAAGTTTCCAAAGCACCTTCATTCATCATTTCATGTTACTCTCTCCCTCATCTTTTGAAATAGAAAGGACAGCTTTTATTTCCATTTTGTAGTGAGAAAACTAAGGCTCAGTAACTTGTTCAAGGCTCTGCTGATGGAGGTTTGGGGTCCAATCTGCTGTGCACTGACCCCGGTGTGCTCTGCAATTTGCTTGTAAGTTGGATTGCTTCTTTCTTTCATCCCCTTCCTCCTCCAGCCTCCTGCCCCTAAATCAGCTGGATTTGATTTTTAGTTTTCTATATTTTTAGATCAAATAAATGAGATTGTTGAGAACTTTAGTCCTGGTCTGAGAATTGGGCCCTTGACCTAAAGGGTCTTCACTTCATTCCTTTTCCCATTATTTAAAAAAAAAAAAAAATTAAATGATGTTTGACTCTCGCAAGAAGCCTTTCCCTCTGAGTGGGTGTCATGAGAGCACAACACATCTGTGGGCTGTGAGAACGTGGCAAGCGTCTGGATGTGGAAGCACTTGAGAGCAGAAATGCTTTTGCAACTTTGATTCTTTTTTTATGGGTTGTGTTTTGTTTGGCAACTCTAATTCTTGTGCGGCTTGTTCAAGTGGAGCACTGCTTCTCTCCCTTCTGTCCTCAGGCCCAGTTTGGCTCTCGGGCCACCTGCCAGGCCGCCACTCCCTGCTATCCTGGGGCTTGCTCTCCCTGACTCACCGCAGGCCTGTGCTGGGGGTATTTCTGCCCACACTGACTCATTCCTGGGGAGGACACTGTGCCACACTGCCAGCATGCTCCTCTTCCAGGGCATTCAGCAGCAGGCCCTGGGGACTGGCATGGAGTCTGCTAGAAGAGGTCACAAGCCAGGGAAGGGAGGGTTTGGTAGCAGTGCTTGTGGTGGACAGAGCACCTGGCAGCCACTCAAGCTCAAGACAAGACCAGAATGATGTCGTATGTACTAGAATAATACTCATCTGCTAATTCTTTGACTTTTCATTATAAATCAAGATTTTTCAATTGGCTAGAGAAGTGGTGATCCTGTAGGGGTCATATTTTTTTTTTTCCAACTCAAAATGTCTCTCTTGATTTTTTTGTTTTTTGCTTCCTTTTGATATTTACTCATTTAAAAATAAAATTTAAAATGAGAAGATTTTAATGAAGTCCATAAAATTCATGTAAAATACAGAAATTAAACAAAACAATGTTAGTGTTTTAGTGAACATCTTCCCCGATAGTCCTAGAGTGTTGCTAATGTTGAAGAATCTGGAAATGCCTTATTTCTTTAGCACTGTTACGTGCATGTTTTTATCTTCTTAAAGTTTTTGAAATTAGAATTATAATTAATGTATATATTGAATATGGGATTCCTTCTCCGTATCCAAAAGATGCTGCTCTTAGCATTTAATATCATGAAAATAATTTCTGTTAAAATACACTGTTTAATGCTTTACATAAATTAGATTATTCATAAGATTTATAGGACATAAGATTTCTGTTTGACAGGGAAGCATGTATATTTTTTAATAGCAGTGAACATAGATTTCTCATAACCTTTATTCTCTCTCTTTTTTTTTTTTTAAATATTTTTTTAGCTGTCAATGGACCTTTATTTTATTTAGTCATATGTGGTGCCGAGAATCAAACCCAGGACTTCACACATGCTAGGCAGGCATCCTACCACTTAGCTCCACCCCCAGCCCATAACTTTTTATTTTCATATACTATGTTATTCTAGTTTATTTAACCAATTGCCTATTTGTAAACATTTAGTTATTTCCAGTTTTCAGTATTACAAACCATACTGCAGTGAGCAATAGACTTATACAAGATTATACATCCGTGTATTTGTTCTTTTTTTCCTCTTCAGTTTAATTTATTGGAAGTAATTGCCAAATCAATCGTGTGTGTGTGTGTGTACACATACGTACACATACACATTTCAAAATTTGATGAATTTCTCCAAGCTTGCTCTTTAGAAATTTGGTACTAACAGCATATAAGAATATCAGTATTTTAATATTTGTCAATCTAGTAATTGAGAGATTATTTAAACTTGCTTTTTAAAAGATGGTAATTAGTGAGTTTAGCACACTGACATACTTATTGGGAAGTTTTTTTTTCTGGTCTTGGTCTTTTTCTTATTAATTTATATGAGCTCTTTACATATAAAGCACCAACCCAGTCATCCATTACTGGCTTTTAGGTTAGCAAACATATCAGACTGTTTTTTCAAATGATTCTAATTTTTAGGATCTGCTTTAAAAAGTGTTTCCTACCAGCTGGAAGCTCCGGGTGAAAGTGTTCACCGTATCTTCTTAAGAAAATTTAACAAAATGAAACCCATCTGAGAAGTATTTACAGCATATTGCAACAGAGATTTAAGCTAGCCATAAAACATTTTTGCTTTTTTTATAGTTCTTCTATATATTACATATGCTTTTACAACAAACTACTTGATGATTTTTTAAAAAATCATGAGGTCCCCCTGAGCCCATATTTAACAACTTCTCTTCTGAATTTGTCAAAAATTAGATAAAGAAAAATCGTCTATCTTCCCAAGCAAACATCCATATTTCTCTACAGTTACAAATCCAATACCATGGAAATTGTCTGACTCCCCCCTACACACACACACAATCAGGAATAAAATAAGTCAGACCAACATGGATTTTGTGAACAAGATATAATTATTTTATCTTATGGAAATAAAAGTCTGCCCTCTGGGACATGCTTGGCTTTCCTTACACCCCCTACAGGGGTAAGGGCGGGACAGCAGCCCTTCCACAAAGAGAAACCCAGGCCAAGAGATGTGGAATGCTTTGTTTTGGGAAGTCAGCATGCTAGTCAAAGAGAAGTGGTGACAGAGGCACTGCTCTGCATGCCCCTGACCACAGACCACGTGATGCTTCTGCTTGCAGCAGGGCAAAAAAGGCTAATGTTGTATGTGGGCAGTGATTGAGAGTTTTGCATGGGGCTTCCTAAGGATGCCACTTTTAGCAGAGAGGTGTAGACTAGACACAGCGCCCTCGAGGTAAAATAATCGAAATGTTGGATGCATCCCATTGGGCTTGTGTGTTGTGCTCATGTGCACAGGCAAGCAGTTCATGCTGGTGTATGGTGAGAGATTGTTTCTAAAGATAGAAGGAGAGTTTGATAAGGGGATTTGCCCCTGTCGGCTATTGAAAAATGTCATCTTTCAGTAAGGCTGAATGCTGTAATGACATGTGCACTCACCAGCCCTGCCCTTGTTGCTCCTCTGCCCGTTTACACTTCTCTTGCAGTGGACGACAGCACTGGAGTAATAAACTGTATCTGCTGGAAGAAGTCGAGCCATCCCGAGTCTTCGTCAGGTAATTTTATTTGTCGTGTTCCTTTGCTTTTCAGCTAAGCAGTGGATTTTACTCAAAGCACCTCACTGGAAAATGGCTACAGGGCTAAATATTCACATTGATTTTCTGTGAATTACAGGGATGGGTTTGAAGCACTGTACCCAGAGCTTTTGCTGCTCTGAAAACTGGCACCTTGGTCAAGGGCATGGCTTCTCTTTCTCCCATCTTTTTGGTGCTCACTTCCTCCTAAGCTGTAGGAATACAGAACAGATCCTGGGGAATTCAGTGGTTTGTTTTTACGCTGGTGTCTACTATGTAAGTCAAGACCAAAGTTTTCAAGGCCCCTGCTCTTATGTGGTTGTCTCTCAATTCTATTCTACCATGATCTAGATTTTTTGAAATTTCTAACCCAGTCAAACAAATGCCAGATAGAAATTCTTGTTGTTAAGATGAGATTCCTTTGAAAGATAGCCACTAAATAATATAAACTGCAAAACAACTTTAAAATTGTGAATTGAACACATTGACTATAACTGAAATAACGTTTATGGTACTTCGGATCAAACCCAAGTCCTGTTGCATACATGCTAAGAGAAGGCTCTGTCACTGAGCTACACTCCCAGCTCTCTGGAATTATTTTTTCCCCCATACCAGGGATTGAACCAGGGGCACTTATCCACTGAGCCACATACCTAGCCCTTTTTTAAAAATATTTTATTAGAGACAGGGTCTCACTGAATTGCTTAGGGCCTCACTAAGTTGCTAAAGCTGGTTTTGAACTCAGTGATCCTCCTGCCTCAGCCTCTAAGCTGCTGCGATTACAGGTGTGCGCCACTGCACCTGGCTCCCTCTGGAATAATTTTTAAAGTTAAGTTCATAATATTTAGACTGCATCATGCTTTACTCGTGATCATTTTTGGCTTTAGAGAAGGTACAGAAACTGGCCTCTTGGTTTTCCTGTTTTACAACATGATTCAGCATGGTGCCCTGCACATGGGGCTGTTTAGTGACTTGTGTTATACATGTCAAGAGCTGTGTGATGCTTGCAGTGGCTTCTTCCTTCCTCCTTGCCAATAGGTGTCAAAATCTCAACTTCCTACTTTGACTGTACCGAGTAGTAGTGTGCTCATTTGCTTAGTTTCCTGATATAAATACATTTAGAATTTGGCCATCGGTTTCACGTAACTTTGGCATTTTCATTCCTAATTTGGGAACATCTAAATCAATGAGCTCTGCAGATAAATTTAAGGAGGATAACAGGTTTTTATGCAGATTATCTTTTAGGTAAAAAACTCTTAAGACAATCAAATATCTGGATTTTCATGTATGTAGGGTATTTTCTTAAGTTTGTTTTGTGCTGTTATTACTTTGTATCTGAAACTGGGTAATTTTTTTTAAGAAGAAAACAAGTTTATTCTTCACAGTTCTGGAAGCTGGGGAACCTAAAATTTGTGTGCTGACAGGTTTTGACATCTGGTAAAGGCTAGTCCCCACTTTGAGGTGGCACCTTGAGTGCTGAGTCCTCCATGGGAGAGGAGCACAGTTCCTCCCATGGCAGAAGAGCAAACTAGAGAATCCTTTTGACAGTGGCATTAATCCAGTTCTGCTAATCTAACCCCATAACCTAACCCTTCCCAGGCCCTCTCCCAGCACAGGTTATGTTGCTGTTGTGGTTTGGATCAATGTCCCCCAAAGACCAATGCATAAAAGCCTGATCCTGGTGCTGTGGACCATAAGCTGTGAGGCCAGGGGGAGGTCTTTAGGTCATTGGGGACATGCCCTCAAAGGGACTATGTACCCAGGTCTCTCCCTTGCTTTGTTTTTTGACTCAATGTATGATTGCTCACTCTGACATGCACTGCTCACCAGAAGTCAATGAGGCTGCCTGATCTTGCATGTAAAATTCCAGAACCATGAGCCAAAATAAACCTCTTTCCTTCATAAATGGTCTGTGTTAGGTATTTCCTCTGAGTGATGGGAAGCTGACTAATATAGTTGTAGTTTCTAACATGAGTTTGGGAAGGGATCAAAAACATTCAAATCATAGCAGTACTGATATCATATGTAGATTTATGGATGTTGTCACAATCTTTAATCAGAAAGTATATATTACTTGAATTTGATGGAGAGTCAGCAGACTTTCTCTGTAAAGGTCCAGACAATAAATACTTCCTACTTTGTGGACCATATACATTAGGTCAAACTACTTAATACTGCCATTTTAATATAAAAGCAACCATAGATAATACATAACAATGCCACAACTGTGTCCCAATAAAACTTTATTTATAAAAGTAGGTTGTAAATGGATTTGGTCTATGGATAATGGTTTTAAATATTATTTTAGTTTTTAAAATTAACTCTAATAAGAAATGGCATCATCAGGAATATTATATAATTCTTACACTTAGTAATTTTTAGATTAATAAAATGGCTAATGTAATACTAAGAATATTGAGAGTAAGTTTTTAAAAATATCTGTGAATAGCTGAATTGAGAGTAGCCTTAATTTGAAATTGCAAATCGAGAGGATAAGAGTATCCAGAGAAACCCTAAAAATGATTCTTATCATATTACCCATGAAGTGATGTTTTTAAATTGTTCCCAATTTGCCCATTCTCTTTTTTTAATTTAATTGCCCAAAGTTTAAAAGCTTTCCATTGGAAAGTGGCCAATGAAGACATTTTTTAAAACAAAATTTAGTCTAAGTCAAAATTAGTCATGTTCCACTTAATTAAAGCATAAGAATATAATGTTAGCTCCCATAAATGTCACATTGAATGTGCTTTGCTTATGAGCAAAGTTAAGAAAGCTTGGCCTTTAGTATTAAAATGTTAAAGGGGATTTATCATTCAAGATGGAATAGACTATTTAAAATGAAATTCTGTCAGGCTCTAGCCGTCTCATTACATTCATTAAATTACACGCTGGAGCCTTCTCTTGGCACTTTGGCTCACCCTTGCAGTGAGAGCTGGGCCTCTTTTTCGCAGACCAACTGTCAGCCTGATAATTTCAGTGGTGCTATACGAAGCCTTTTTTTATTATGTCACCTATAATGTCTGTGTAATGGGCAATGAAATTTATAAATACCTCTAAAACTCAGCCCAAGGAGAAGGCGGTCTGGGGATAAAAAATAAATAAATAAATAATGGGTGGAGCAGCCTTCTGGGAAGTTATTCTTGAATGTTTTCTGAAGAGAAACCCAGTAAGCTGAGCAACACTAATACCAAGTGTGTTTAATCTCCTAGGTGTTGGTTACTGCATGTGCAAGGTCCCTGCTCTCCCTTGGTTTCCCTGGGTATGGCAAATGTGTCAAAATTAATGCCTCTGCTTGTTACAAAGTCACGGTTTCAAAATTGTTTTAGGTCAAAAAGCAGAAAAATTTGATTCAGAGACCAAAAGAGAGATTTGCTCCATTTTAGAAACACCATTAGAATAAAAACCAGAAATAATATGACAGTAGAAATAAATCAGTATTTAGCAAATGTTGTTGCCTCAGGTAGATAACAGTATTTAAAAAGAGTTCACCTTGATTGCTGTCTTGTAGCTTACACCGAACAACCCAAAGAAGACAGAGTTGTATATTTATCCCAATAAACACATTAAGCTCTCATAAGTCCCTGGCTGCTATCATGAATGACAAGAGGGATGTTCTCACAAATCAAGATCTTTTCAAGGTGTTATACAGTAGAATGAAGTCCCCTAAACATAAAAAGGAAAACAATGGAGTGAGGAGAGTGCATGTAATAAACATCACTGATAATCCTTCCCTGAGATTTAATAGGAACTAACAAAAGCTGAAGAGATAAAGGGCAGATCTATAAAGAAACACAGAGAGGAGATCATCTCACATAAAAACACGGAGCCACTCTTGTGATTTAAAAGCAAAATAAAACTTCACGGAGTCATGATGTGTTGATTAAAGCACTAGAGGCTCCAGTGACTGAAGCCGGCGTCGGAGCGGTGAGGACATGCACGTGCGTCACTGGTGACATCATGTCAAGGCAGAGTGGCTGGGGTTTGCCAGACTTTTTTCTGGCAAACATTCTGACAATATGCCATGAACTGTACATTGTTTGTACACTTTTTAATCCAGTAATCCCCAACGAAAGACCCCAAAGAAAATAATTTGTCTAGAGATCTGAATTATTATCGAAAATACCACACATTAATTATTTCTGATATTCTGGCATTGTGTTAAGGGTTAAATTAGATCATACACAATACCTTGATGCATGAGGTACTCTACCATTATCCCCAGTTCATAATTGAAGAAACGAGATGTATGAGTGGAGAAGAAGAGACAGTGAGGTTAAGCAACCTGCCCAAGGTCACACAGCTAACAACAGGTAAACTGAGATTCAAGTCAGGTCTTTCTGACTCCAGGAGTCAAATGCTGACCTTTAGCCTATATTGTCCCCCCTCCCAATGCTAGTGATACAAAAGTAATAAAAATGAGAGCTGAGAATGTAGCTCAGTGGTAGAGTGCTTGCCTACTGTGCATGAGGCCCTGAGTTTAATCCACAGTTCCACCAAAATAAGAAATATTTTTAAAGGGAGGGGCTGTGTAGTGAGACTAGTAAAATAAACTGGCATATCGGCAAGATAATGCTGTATCGTTCATTAAAATGCTGAGTTCTGTAGATTGTGTGGATACATGAGACTAGAAGGAGCATTGGTACTGATTCATCTGACACTCTGCAGGACCATGGTGGCTGTCCTTGAGACTTGCAACTAAATCAGCCAGGGGGAATAATGCAGGACTGTCCTATTTGGAATTATGGTAGAAAAACAGAACATACAATCCTTTTTTTTTTTTCTTTTTTCTTTTTTTTTTTTTTTGGTACCAGGATTGAACCCGGGGGGGCTTTAACCACTGAGCCACATCCCTAGCCCTTTTTTTGTATTTTATTTAGAGACAGGGTCTCTCTGAGTTGCTAAGTTGCTGAGGCTGGCTTTGAACTCCCAATCCTCCTGCCTCAGCCTCCCCATTTGCCAGGATTACAGGTGTGCACCACCTCGCCTGGCAGAACATACAATCTTTTACACCAATCAGCTCTGACTGTGGAAAATGTAGGAACCTCTTGGGATAGCAACAGAGAATAAAGGATCAGTGAGAAGGCTCTGCAGCCAACGACTAAGCTGCAGCTTCATTTGGGCAAAAGTTGCTTGAACTCTGTGTGATTGAGTTTCTTTCTCTGAAATAGGGCTAGTAATATGTGGGAGTAGTTGTGAGGATTGGATGTGCTGATACATTGAAAAGGTTTTAGAGTAGCACCTGTCTACCTGAACATCCGTGGCTATTCTTTTAACTAACTAACATGGTTTGGAAATAAAAAAAATTGAGGGGTAGAGATTATTTAGGATTAAGTGTGCATTGGCTTCTTTTCACCATGACATTACGAGGGATTGAACCCAGAGGTGGTTGACCAATCGGCGAGACACATCCCCTTCTTTATTTTTTATTTAGAGACAGGGTCTCACGGAATTGTTTAGGGCCTCACTGAATTGCTGAGGCTGGGTTTGAACTCAAGATCCTCCTGCCTCAGCCTCCTGAGCTGCTGGGATTACAGGTGTGTGCCACGACACCCAGCCCTTAAGGGTGTATTCTTGAGTTGTATGAGAATGAGTGAGTGAGTGTGTAAGAGAATGAATGAAAGGTGAGGGGTTGGGATGTGGAGCACTGAGGTAGGACAGTTGTTTGCAGGGACACCTTAGAGGGTTATTTAGAGCTGTTGCCCCTGGAATCACACTCAGGAGCCTGTAGAGCCCTGACTGCTGGCATTGCAGAGAAAGAAGGCCTCGGGACTGCCCTGGAGCTTGCCTACTTGGCCTGTCCAGACTCCTTCTCTCTGCTTTTGAATAATTGCAGCTATATCTTATACCGCTACTGTTCAGTTGAGGATTTCAAAGGTTACAAGGACTTCCTATAGTATAGCAACTGATCAGAAGGAGAATAAATGTGCTGTGTGGGTCTTGCTCTTGAACTTTGTCCGCAGTGTGGTGGAGTGATGGCGTTAAACCTCTCTCTCTCCTGTCCCCTTCACACTGCAGCTGGTCCAAGTGCAGCAAGTGAGCTGAGTCTGACCTCACGGCTTAAGAAGCTTCAAGAGACCATTGAGCAGAGAACCAAGGTAGAACTTGGGGACATTATCCGAATCAGAGGCTACATCCGCACATACAGAGAAGAGCGAGAAATTCATGCCACTGCTTATTGTAAGCACAAGAATTTTTTGTCAAATTGGTTGTTATTCTGGGAGTGAGTCCAGAAGACTCTTGTTTAGCTGAAAGTCTAACTTTCAAAAAGTTCACAAGATTTCACTCTAATGTTATATTGTATAATATGCTTTTTTTTTAGAAAAGCAGCACTTCATAATTTTATTTGGAAAAAAGTTAACAATAAGTAAATTAGGAAAGAAAATAAATTATTGGCTATATATAGTTGACAAGTTTATTTTAACAACATAGTCATTTCCAAAGAACTTTGAAATTCAAGTGTCAATCCATTAGGGCAGAGTTCATATTCTTCAAAATGATGGAAATTTCCTGAATACCATTAAGTCCATTAACTTTTGTTTGTTTATTTGTTTATTTGGGAATTGAACACAGGAGTGAGCTACATCCTAGCTTTTTTAATTTTTTTATTTTGAGATGTTCTTACTAAGTTGCTAAGTTCCTTGGCTGAGTTGCTGAGGCTGGCTTCAAATTTGTGATCCTCCTGCTTCAACCTCCCAAGCTGCTGGGATTACATGCATGTGCCACTATGCCTGGCCAAGTCCATTGACTTTAAATGAAAACAGCTAATTAGAAATAGGACAGTCCTGCATTATCTCCCCTGGCTGATTTTTAGCCCCTGTGGTCCTCCAGAGTGTCAGATGAATCTGTACCAATGTTCCTTGTAGTCTTCTTCTGCTCCTTGGCTGTCCCTGTGATGGAACACTGCCTTCACCCTCACAGGAAGGCCGGGAGTGCATCTAGAGTGCTGTCCTTGTAGTAGTGTGGACATGGGAAAGAACTGATCTCAGTGTAATTTCTGACATTTTTTTTCCTGGCCTTATTAGACAAAGTGGATGATCCAGTGTGGAAAATTCAAATTGCAAGAATGCTTGAGCTGCCCACTCTCTACAGGAGAGTTTATGACCAGCCCTTCCACAGTCCAGCTCTAGAGGAAGAAGCAGCAGGAGGGTAAGTTGGGTCTTACCACTGTCAGGGGTGAGTCAGCAGCAGTGCAGATGAGCAGCGGGAGCCAGAGGCTGGGGTGGGCCTGGGCCAGGCCTGAAGCTTCCACTTGAGCACTGTGGGGCTCTTACCTCCGTACACCTCCATTTCCTCATCTGCAGAGGGAAGTCAGGAAAATAGACGTATAATTGATATCATTGAAGGAGTGGAGGGAAGAGCACAGAAAAAAAATATTTGAAGAAATAATGGTTGAAATTTTCCAATCTGTGAAAACCTATAAACTCACAGATCCAAGAAGCTCAACCAACCCCAGGGCAAGAAACATGAAGAAAACTGCTCTGAGGCACATCACAAAGTATTGTACCATAGTACATCATAACCCAAATCCTGCAAAAAACCTACGGCAGTTGTTTTCCACCAGGGATGATTTTATTCCTTTAGGTAAGCGACAAAACAAAGCCAACCCCAGGAGGAATGAGAATATATGGATATTTGCTAGTGTATGGGAAGAAATACAGAGAACCAGGAGAGGATGCAGGCTGGGGCGAGATGGGAGAAGAAGAGAAAGGTGGACTTTTTATTTACTATGGCCCCTTTCTTTTTCTTTTCTTGTGATACTGGGGATTTGAACCCACAGTCTCATGCATGCTAGACAAGCACTCTACTACCGCTGTGGTACACTCAGTCCTCCTTTAATTTTTTTTTAACTTGTGAATTTCAGGAATTATGTTTTCTGAAACGTGCAAACTCTAGAATGTACAAAATAGAAATTGTCCCCTCAGTTCCGTTCCCCAGAGGTTGCCACTGTTCCTGGCAGCTGTTTCCTCTTAGACTCTTTTCTTCTGTGCATGCAGAAGCATAAATGCCACATATGTTTTGTAGGTTGTCCTTTCCTTTTTTTTTTTTTTAACAAAAACAAAGCCATATAGGTTTCATTTCTTCTGAAGCTTGACATTTTTCTTAGTCTACCATGAATGTCTTTTTTAATTCTCATAATCTTTTTTTTTTGTGGTACTGGGGTTTGAACTCAGGACCTTATATGTGCTAGGCAACTGCTCTACCACTGAGCCACATGTCCAACCCTGGTTCTCATAATTTTAAGCAACCACACAGTATTCACTGTATGTACCTCTATGTCAAAAACAAGTCTCAATATAATATTGCATCTTCTACCTAATTTTCTGCCTTGTGCACACCAAAAAGGAACAAAGGTGATGGTTTTCTTCAGTGATTTTTAAAAACTTTCCCTTGGCAGCAATCCAGAAGCCCAAGACCTTACCAGTCTCACGTGTTTGCTGAGTGAAAAAATCAAAGAGTTCCTCGTGGAGAAGAGAGTACAAACCTTTTACCAGCAGGAGCTGGAAATGGTGCCGTCTTTGCTGACTCTTGCCAATCAGCCCGTGATTCATAGCACCTGCTCCGACCAAGTGAGTGCCACGTGCCCATGTGAGAATTCTGGGCCTCTGCCCCAAGTCTGCAGCTGAAGGGTGTGGGTGAACATGACTGTGATGTTAAGAATCACAGGGTGGACCCAGGGGCAGAGGTCACCCTCCCAGCACATGCCGTTTCTATTCTGGAAAGGTCACTGACCACTAAGAATTTGAAATGAGGCTAGACCTGTCCTTTCCACCTCTTTACTTAATCTTATTGCCCTTAATCTTTGAGTTGAAAAAGATAATAATAGGCTCAGGTCATAGCACCTAGTTGTTAGTACTCACTGAGATGGGTATTTCATCTTAGCAGAAGCCAAATGAGGGAGAAGGAGATGAGAGGGAGGTCATTATCTTGCATCCAGAATTACTTTTTTTTTAATATTTATTTTTTAGTTGTAGTTGGACACAATACCTTTATTTTATTTATTTTTATGTGATGCTGAGGATCAAACTTAGGGCCTTGCACTTGCAAGGTGAGCGCTCTACCACTGAGCCACAACCCCAGCCCCAGAATTACTTATCGATCAGCAAGATGATTCTTGAACTTGAACCCGGATTTTTTGGCATGTCAAAAATAAGGTTGATCTGACATGTTTTAGGAGTTTTAAATAAAGACAAAGTTGTATTCAGTTGGTTTATAAGTAAAAATTTCAGGGAATGTTAAAGTAATGCTCTTGGAGAGATCTGTCCCTGTTTTTTCACTTCTAGTATAACAGATGAACTTGTTTGGTTGTTTGGTGTGTGTTTGAATTATTGGAGACTTGTTTTAGGCTTTCCCTTTTATTACTATTCTTAGGTTTGTTTTCATTGTGACATGACTTATATTTATTACTTTTAAATAAATGAATGATCTCAGTTTAAATATCACCTTGGTCCCCCAGCCATCTGCCCTGACCACCACTTGTCCCACCCTGTTACATTCAGATCTGTGGCGTTATGATGTCACTGCATTTGTTTGCCCTCCATGGAATGAAATACCTTCTCCCTCTTAAAATTTTTCATTTTGATTTTTATCCCTAGCATTGTGTGGGTGCCCTCTACCCAGGCCCTAGAACAGGATGAAGTTCTGTTCTGGATGAAGCAGATTCTCAGTGATTATTTGTTGATACAAGGAATGAAAGAATGGTTGTTAAAAAGTCAAGTGGTCTCAGAAGGTAGTAAAGTAAAAGTAGATTTCTTCCCATCCTCCCTCTCACCTTGTCCCTGTCCCCAGAGACAAGCCCCAATGCCAGTCTCCTGCATGTCCTCCTAAATATAGTTGATGGATATATAAACTATAGGTAATTGAGTCTCTCTCTCTCCCTTTTCCCTCATATGGCAGCATATAATTGACCTCTCTTTGCACTGAGCAGTTCTTGCAGGTCCTTTCCTAGTAGGACATCCTGATCTGCCCCTGTGTAATAATCTTGTTACCTCTCCTGGAAGATTGGTTTATGTATTTAACCAGTCTCCTCCCTCTGGACTAACATGTTTTCCAATCCTCCCATTGCCAACAGGGCTGCTGAGAACACACTTTTGCTAAGTAACCAAAGCTTTTCTTCAGGATTCTGGTGGAATAGACACCAACCAGGTCACCATCCCGACCTCCTAGGCATGACCACTGCTTCTCGATTTTGTTCATGCACCTAATTACCTCCTCCTGCCAACATGCTTGTGTGCCCAGTGACCCAGGATTTTATGCAGAGAGATGAGGGATATCATTTCAGGAAGCACCCAGGTGGGGAGGGTCACGGCTGGGTGCTTTGTTCTTTGCCAAGGTCGCTTCTAAACAGTTGCAGCTTTCCAGCTGTCTTCTGACAGCGAGATTGACCTTCTTCCCATTTAATCATTCAGAGGAGGCTCAAAGCCAAATTAACCTCCTAGGACTTTTAATGACTATCAGCATATTTGCAAGGAAACTTTAAGGCTCAGCAAAGCCCACATTCTTCACTTGAAGCTGGCTCTTCTGTGGTAGTTATAATTAAGTACAGAGACTTAAGCACTCTTTGAGGACTGAAGACTCCTCCATTCAAAATGATCTGTGGGGACATTTTCGTGTGCTGTCGTTCTCAAAAAGCTTAGAGCAGAAAATCGTGCCTGCCCAACGCTGTATGTTTGAAATGGAATGGCTGTGGCATCGGATTTATTTGTCTTTGGAAGCGATTTTTTTCCATTAATTATGAATTAGTCCATCACATTGCTCTGGTTGGGAAGGTCAGTGTCATTAAATTGAATTCCATTTAATAGATCCCCAGGAGACTAAAGATGCTTACAATGATGGTGAAACCTGAGAGCTTTGGCACTTTCCCTCCTCATACAAACAAAAGCTTAACAAAAAGTCACTGTGATGGTGCCCTAGCTGAGAGGTGGGAGAGAGGTGAGAACATTTTTCCCCTTTCTATTTTTTCCTTTGTGGCCCTTAGCAAATCCAGAAACATGACAGGCAGACCTTCCAAAACCATTTTTTACCCCGTGGCGCTGGGGATTGGGCCCAGGACCTCTGTGGACTAGGCAAGCGCTCTACCACTGAGCTACATCCTCACCTACCTCACTGTACCCCCTTTTTTTAAGCTGAGTTTCCCAGGCTGGCCTTGAACTTGGATTCCCCTGCCTCAGCCCCGAGGGGCTGGGATTACAGGTGTGCAGCACCATGTCTGGCAAAACCATTGTATCTTTGACAGCCAGATGAACACTGAGTTGGTTTGGGAGTGAAGAGAAGCTAGATTTCAGGGAGCCGCCCAGTTCCTGGCTGCAGCCTGAGGCTCAGCACATGCAGCCAGCCAACTTTTGAGTCTGGGAGCCATTTCCATTTCCTGAATCGGATAAGTCTGTCATTGCTTTTTCAAAAATGACAAGAAAGACACAGATTCCTGTCCAGAAGAACTGCTGGCTTGTAGAAGGGACGAGTAGAGAGGCCTTGCCCTTGAGACTGATGTCTTCAAACCAGGATGGAAAAAAATCCCCTGGGTCAGCTGAGGCAAAGTTTTTGGAAAGGAAGCATCACATATTGTTTATATTTACCGAGAGCCATTTCAGATGAGTCCTCCTGCTTCACAGCCGAAGCTGTGCTTTGACTCTCCCAGGCCTCCAATGCTCGATTTCTGCCAGTTGGTCTTGCGGAAGGAAAGAGCCAGTGTGAATACAAAAGACCAGCCAACAGCAAGAGTATCTTCCTGGTCTTCCACTCCATATCACCGAATTAAACAAATCACAGCTGAAATATACAGCAGTTATCAAGCGTGATCCTGCCAAAGCAAACTTCTAGCCCTCCTGCTAGGCTGGTACATGCCTTGATCTTGACTCAGCAGATTAAAAACCTGTTGAGCAAATTCACAAACCAGTTGGTCTGGGAAGTTGCTTTTAGGTGCCTGAAAGTGCCTTACTTCTTTTCTTCTTTTTTTTTTCCCCCCTATTTATACAGGTGGAGTTTAAGAATGACACCCCTTCCAAGGCAATTCATAGTGTATTTAAGAATGCTATTCAGCTGCTACAGGAAAAAGGACTCGTTTTCCAGAAAAGTGGTGATTTTAATAACCTGTACCATGTAAGAGACCCACAATTTTAATTTTTTCCTTCATAGTTTCAATTACTAATATATTTATTAATTATGAATACCTGCTTATTGTTTTTTAAAAAAATCATGAAGGAGGTATATTAAGTCAGGAGTAAATGTTGATCCTTACCTTTCCCTGAGCTACCTCTTACAGCCATACATCCTTCTGGAGGTTCACCTGTACATTTACAGATGCACTAATACACTCCTGTAGCTCTTCCACTTTACCAAAAAAAAAAAAAAAATAGTATAAATCAGGAATTCTCACCCTCAACACCAAGTGGGTCCAGTGATCGCCATGGGGACTAGCCTGTGCATGATGGGATGGTTAGCTGCATCCCTGACCTTCCCTCACTCATTGCCAATGACACCTCCCCCATTATGACAACCAAAAATGCCTCCAGTCATTGCCAAATGTCCTCTGGGACAGTTGAGAACTACTGCTCTAATAATGCTCAGCATCTTTTTTGGTACCAGAATAGCATCTCGCAGACACCTTTCCACATTATTGGGAATCTACATCATTCTTTCTGACTCCCTGATGATATTCCATGCTTGGGTACTTGATATAAATTTTTTTGTCCATACCTTTGTGAGGGAACATTTATCGTGTTTCCAACTTTTGCTGTCACAGAGGGTGCTGCTGTGGCCCTTTCTGCTCAGCTGTCCCTATGATCTCATGTCTGTATTTCTGTACAATCAACTCCTGAAGGAAGAGTTCCAGGAGCAAAGGACGTGAGCATTTAAGCTTCTGGGTGACACAATCCCATTGGCCTCCCTAAAGGCTGTGCCAGTTGGCCTCCCAGGAATATACAAATGGCTGCTTCCTGGTTTCCCTGATATAAAAGGCCTCCTCTTGCTGTATCCCCTTAGTGTTGGAGAAGCCCAGCTGAAAATGGGCCTTCTGAGGGCCACTGATGTCGTCAGCATAGATGTGGCTTCCAGAAAGTGTGAGTCTCCTAGAGATAGATCAGTGTCATTACTTACGAGTGAAATTCCGGAGGGGAAGGTTTCCTCAGTAGCACGTTTCCTGATGCTGATTTATTCTACCGATTCCCCATTTCAGAGGGTTTTAAACATCAAGACTGGTTTTCAGTGCTGCTTCTGGTAGAGTTGATCCACCTGTGGGAGAGGGTGGGCTGGGATGGGTGGGCACCGGGGAGTTCGCTGGAGGTTGACCCACCAGGCCGGCAGCTCAGGTCAAGCCCCCTCTGAGCCACATGTTCCTGGGGCTCCGGGGCTCTGTCATGATCTGTAGTGAGCAACCATTCCTGGGGAACAGCAGAGCCATAGGCCACCGCCCAGGCTGAGGTGTTGCCTGGCTGGGGCACTTCCTCCTATGAATCACTGTGAGTTAGAATGGGGCGATGGAGCAAAAGCAGGTCCCTTGTCCCCTTCTCTGACATCGCCCCTCCTCTTCCACTCATTGTGTGTGGGAAGGTTTCCTTTCTCCCAGGGCCCAGCCTGAGGGAAATGGTTATCATTGTCATGTCAGTACTTCTTGTCCAGCCCAGCCCATGGGCTTACATGACCTTGTTTAGCCATCACAATCACCTTGGGAACTGAGGGTCGCTAAGTCAGGCCACAGGCTTAGGGGGCTTTCTGCACTGGAAACTTACCTCTCTGCACACTTTCTTTCTTTTTTCCCCGTCTGTGTTTTTTTCTCCCCTCTCCCCTCTCTCCCTCTTTCCCCATCATTTCTTCCTCTTCTGTCGTCCTTTTCTTCACCTTTTGTTGTTGTTGTTATTAGGTTTGCTGTTGAACATGAAAGTGAAGCCCTATTTAGTTGCAGCTTCCCCCTTTCCCTGGACTGGTTGAAAAGAAGCCTGGTGATGTCTGCCTTTGAGAGCAGACAGTGTGTCAGTGGTAGGCTAGATTTGCTCTGTTCCTGGCAGTTGTTTTCTTCTTTTGTTTTCCCCTTTGGTTAGGAGTCCGGGCCCAGAGCAAGGAGTCCTGGGTGGAGATCAGAGACTCTGATTATGGTGCCCCCCATCAAAAATATAACAAATAAGAGAGATGCTATGAATATAATGTTCAGTTAGTAAGTAGCCCCTTAAAAACACAGAATTCCAGTTTTCCTTTCCGTCATGGCCCCAGTGAACCCACTCTAAGGGCGTGTCCTCTAGCCACCTCCTGAGCAGTGAGCTGCTGAGGAACAAAACTGATTTGACACTAGGCCAGGTACCAAAAGTCACATCATTAGTGTAGGGAAGCTGAAGGGGGTGGAATCTTTAGAAACTATCCTGCATACTTATTTGGGAGTCTGGATGTCACAACTGCCGTGCTATGTAAGAACATTTTTTCCTGAACTATCTTTCCTATATAGGTAACTAGAGAAGACAAAGACCTGCACAAAAAGATCCACCGGATCATTCAGGAAGACTGCCAGAAACCCAGTCGTAAGTGGCATAGTGTGCAGGTGACGCGCGGGTGCCCTGGAAGGGGCTGCTCCCTCCCAGAGGGCATTGGACAGAGGGTCAGAAGACTGGGATTGTTCCCAGCAGTGACTTTGAAAGGTGACAGTCAAGGCACCCACTCTTTCTGAGCCTTAGTTTCGTCCCCTCTAACATGAGTACTGGGCTAGCACAGTTGTTCAAACCTTGGCTCCATGTAAAAAGTTTCAGCCTTGGGGCTCTTTTAAAGGTGCAGTGCCCAGGTCCCACCCCTGGGGATTCTCATTCTGTAGGGGAAAGGTTGAGGCTCAATAGGTAAGCGGCTCAGATGGTTTTGCAAGGTAAGCCAGGTCGCCAGGACACCAGGATTTTGTGATGTCGCACAGGTTCTCATATTCTTTCCGAGTTGCATTTCTTGTTCCATTCATCCTCCTTGTCTTTGAATATAAACCTGACATTTTACTTACTCCTAACATCAAGCCTTTCAGTGTTGGGAGGAATGGTTCTAGACACTACAGTTTTTGTTTTTTAATTTTTTTTAGTTTAGAATGATGTGATTCTGTCATTCTGGAAACCAAAAGTTTGCAAAAGAAATGGTTTAGAAAATAGTTTCAGTGGAGTTAGGTCATCCCCTAGTGGTTAGACTTTCAAACTGTAACTAGTCTGACGACAAACATGATCTTTTCCTGGTTAGAGAAGGCAGCATTAGTCCTATCTTTAAATCCTATACAAAATGGTCAGTCTTCAAGGTGACTTTTCAAAGTTCACTTGTGCAAACATATGCTAATAATGAATGTTGACCTAGTTCAACACGTGATGCTAGGAGGGAAGTGGAAAGATTTATAAGTGACCTGAGGTCCCCAGTCCTGCCTCCTTGCTTGCCATAGAAGTCCACTTCCAGGCCTTTCGTCCCAGGCATCCCTGGGCCTGGACCCGGTCCAGGCTGACTCAGCGGGTGGAGTAGGGCCAGGTCTTCCGCCCTGGTATTTAGGACCTGATGAGGTCAGACCCCAGAGTGGTATGACAACAGGTCTTAAAATAAACTGAAAGCAATCTGTGATTTTAATGCAGTCAGTGAGTTCACTTCTTTTGGAACAATAAGAACAGGTATCCTTTTGTTGAAGAGAAGCCTGTTTCTCACACCTAGGGACCATTTGAGAGCAGTGTTCTTGGGATTCCCCAACTAGAAGGAGAGGGAGGTGCTCCCAAGCTTCCTTTCCTACATTAGGAAAAGAATGGGTTAAAACCTGCAGCCTGGTAAAGCAAAGGATAGAAATCCTCTCTTCATCCCTTAAAAGGACCTAATGTCCTAGGTGGCCCTGAGGGACAAGCTCCCACCTCTGAACATGGGCATCAAGATGGACAGGCTCTGCTACCCAGTCTGTACCTGGGAGCCTCTAAAAGCCACAGGCCAGTCACCTGGCACTAATAAACTCTCAGAAGCTAAATTCCAGACCCTAGGTAGCAAAGCCAGTGAGAGGCCTCTTAGGACTATCTTGTATCCGCCGCAGTCACTCTTCTTCATAATGTTATCACCTATGGCAGTAGAAATTATTCTGAATAATAGGGTATGTGCAACATTAAAAAATCAAGCAGTGCAAAAAATACACTCAGAAATCAGAGATCCCTCCCAGCAGGGAGCCTAGGCTTTGCTTTTCCCTCCGCAAAGGCATGGTTGTTACTAATTTTTATGTATCCTAGAGATATTAGGTGCACCTACAAACATACTTGTATAGTTGATCCTCTTTTAAAAACACAAGTAAAGCTTAGCCTACAAAATACCTTGCCCCGCACCTTGTATTTTACTTCTGACATTGGCTTCTAGAGGTCCTTTGTCTGCAGTCTTAACTGCAGTCTTAACTGCAGTATTCCATCATATATCTAGAGAGAGTCAGCCATTTATTTCACCATTCCTCCTGGGCCTTCATTTCACTTCTGGCCTTTCATATAAAATAAGAGCTTAGGGTTTTCCTTATCAGGGTGACTGGTAGACAGACTTGAACTCTTCAGTCACTGATATGTTTCTCATCAAAGGATTGATGAGGTTTTTCTAAAGATGAACAATGTTTCCCAGCAGCTTGGGAGGCTGAGGCAGGAGGATCTTGAGTTTGAGGCCGGCCTGGACAACTTAGCCAGACCCTCAGCAACTAAGCAAGACCCTTCTCAAAATAATAAGGGCCAGGGATGTAGTTCAGTGGTATAGCACTTGCCTAGCACACATGAGATCCTGGGGTTGATCATTAACCTTGCAAAAATGAATCAATAAATAAAATCAGTTCAATGCCCCCAAGACAACCATGGCCCCCAAGCAAGCACCTTGCAGAAAAGCCTGCTGTGGCTGAGGGTTGTCCCATACAGGGCTGCCTGCTGTTGTCCTAACCCCTGGGGAACTGCTTGCGGGCTTCTACTACTCATCTGTCTTCTAGTAATATCTCATATAAAGAAGAGTCTAAGCTGGGCGTAGTGGCTGTGATCCCAATGGCTGGGGAGGCTGAGGCAGGAGGACTATGAGTTCAAACCAGCCTCAGCAAACTTGAGGCACTAAGCAACTCAGTGAGACCATGTCTCTAAATAAAAATACAAAATTGGGCTGGGGATATGACTCAGTGGGCAAGTGCCCCTGAGTTCAATCTCCAGTACCGAAAAAAAAAAAGAAGAGCATAAGGCATGATCCCCATGTTATTGGAAGGTGACTTTGGGAATAGCTTACCAGACCACCCTTCCAACAGAACCACCTACTGGAGAAATGGCTTAAGGCCTACAGCTATCAGAAGCACTGCTCAGAGCCCCATGTATGCCTGGGAATCAACTCTGCCCTGCACTGGGCCTCAAAGTTAAGGTGAAAAGCTAAGTGCTGGTGAAATTCCTGGGTTGGGCTCTCTGCTCTGCAGCTGGTGTGCTGAGTCCCTCCACCTCTATCAGCAGCGCATCCCGCCATCTTCAATTAGCTCCATGGGAAAGGGCTGAAGCTTCTTTAGTCGGGGGCGGGCTGTGATCTCATGTTATGAAAGTGATGAAGAATCATGGTTGTTTCCTAGCTAAGAAGCTCGTGGATCTCATTTTACCCCCACACCACCCTGTAAAGTAGGTGGTTTTATTCTTATGAGCCACTTTGCCCCAGTTGACATGCAGGATTTGCATTCAGGTCTTCTGGGCTCCAGGGTCAGCTCTCCATCAGCCACACTGTACTTGCTCCTCCCTGCTCAGTGCTACACACACAGTAGGTGTTCAGTTCTGTGCATGCCTGAAACTGGAGAACATTAAACCAACTGGGAGGATTAAGGAGTAGATGCAACCACTAGAGGTCGCAATTTAGTACATCTTTGTTAGCCCAGGACCAGCCTCTGAACCTTGGGACTGGTAAGAACTTCAGAGGTGATCAGTCCCTTGTCCCCCAACCCTAGGTGAGGGAAGCTTGGGGTGCTATGGCTTGCCTCAGGGTGCAAGGGTGCACCAAATGTCAAGCCATACTTTCCCAATACTACAATACCTTTGAGCACCTTCCAGCCTAAAGCATTTTGTCAAATGAAAACCACATAGAGTGGTAGAGCACTGGAGTATGCCTGGTCCTGGGTGTGTGTGGCCCTGCCGGGGTCTTCAAAGTATGAAAACTGGGGTGGGTTTACTTTTAGTGATGAAGTTTGACTTTGTCTCAGAAATACATTTTATGTCACGATCCAATACTTATATAATTCTAATGCATAAGATTTTACAGATAGGACAGAGGAGGGCTGACGGTCATAGTGAAGCTTAGCCACCTGCCTTTTGCCTGCAGACATGGAGAAGGGCTGCCACTTCCAGCATATCTTGGCCTGTGTGCACCTGAGCCTCCACCCGGGCCTGAGTGAGGCCGTGCTGCGGCAAGTGCTGGAGCTGCTGGAGGACCAGAGTGACATCATCAGCACAATGGACCGCTACTACAAGGCGTTCTGAGCAGAGGCCCTCGGAGTGACTGAGGAGCAGAAGGACAAGGTGGCATTCGCCCCAGGTTCTAATTGTAAACATCTTGCAGGGCTTATGTCTGGAAGAAGTCACCTCATAATAAACCTAACCCTACTTTAGTATGGTCACTTGGGGAATGAGATGTAGCTGCCTCCTATGTGCTGTGACTTTGGGGTACAGTGACTTTGATCTCAGCCCCTCACACAAGAAATTCCTCCCTGTTGACTTCCTGTCTGAATGGGGCATGGCTCAAGGAGCAGAATGGGGAGGAAACAGTATTGTCACCTTAATTGGTGTATTTGTGGCTTGAGGCCCTGTCCTGGTGAAGGGACATCACAGGGTCAAAGGCACTGCACTGCACTGTAGGATCTCAGGAACCTATGGCCAGATCACCAGTTCTAAGCTTGGCAAGCCTTCAGGCTGTCACCTGTGTCCCTGTGGCCACTCCCAGTGGGTAGGAACCAGGCGAGGGAGGGGTTCTTCCTGGATGACAGCCCCTCACCTCTGCTTTCTGAGACTCCAGCACCAGTGGCGGGGCCTGAGGTTTGCTGCTGTTTACTGATTCCCCCAGAGATGGAAGTAGGCAGGGGTTCGAGGTGTAGCTCTGTATTCAGCACTTATTTCCCTTCTAATTAAAAGGTGTTACAGAACAATTCCCTGCACTCCCAGTGTTGCAGGACTAAACACATGGTCCCTCAGTGCCTCTGCAAGGGACAGAGGTGTCAGTAGCCTGGCAGGGGTAGATGTGATCTTCAAGGTTGCTGTTGAGTGTGCCAGAGGTGCTGACGCCATCAAGATAGAGACTCCTGGTGTGTGCCCAGACAGGTGATGGAGTCATGCTTTTGCTCAGAATGACAAGGTAAAGAAAAACCATCTGAGGCATGTAGTAAGCTTGTTCTAACAGAAAACGACAAATCCAGCCAGCAAAAATAAAGCATGGAGAAACAGATTTGGAGTTAATTACAGTCATTTTGCAGAAGGCACATCTGCCTTCATCTGCTGTGTTGGCTCTTGACCTAATAGAGTCTCAGTGGCTTAGCTGGAGATACTGTAGGCCCGGAGAGCTGTTCTGCCCTCTGTGGACACGGAGTGGTTTCTACCCTCACAAGTCCGCCTCAGCTGCATTTGTCAGGCAGAGAGCTAGTACCTGCAGCTTGACCCACACTTCTGCCGACTTCTAACATTGTTGTACAGACAACTGTCCTGTTTCAACTATGCTCAGAAAGGTCTCTGAATAGGCCCTTCCTGGAATGAACTCCCAGTAGTTCTTCAATCTGTGGTATTTCCATATTGAATATATCTTCGATTAGTGGAGCCTCCCAGGAGAGTCTGGAATCAGAACAGAAAAAGGGCATGTCCTGGCATAGAGCAGCCGAGGGGTTCATCTCCAGGAGATAACTACACAGTGTGAGAGGATGAATCCACAGGCGCGAGTCACAGGGTAATCTAGAGTTCTATGATTAGGGGAAAGCTTTATAGAATACAAGTTAATTACAATCTATGTATACAATGAAATATTATGCAGCTGCTAAAATGTTGGAACAGATGGATACAATTGCTACAGGGTACTAGTGATAGATTAGTGAGAAGGAAATCGAGTTAAAGATGTGTTTGTATAGTATAGTACCCTGGATCTAAAGCTCCCTCTGTGCGTGTCCTACATCAATGGTGTGTTTCTGCATATGTGTCATTTGTTCCTATAGCACATGTACACAAAGACGTAGAGTTGGTCACTCCCTCCTCCTAGAAGTACCTGCTGCACTTGGCTTTCAGGACACCGCACTCCCTGGCTGTACCTTTCAGTGGTCAGCCTCTATCTCCCTGAAGACTCAGGGCCAGTCCCAGACCTCATCTCAGTTTGGCTTATAGCACTGGGGCTCTGTCACACTGTCTCAGTGCTATGCATCTCCTCATGCTCAGACCTCTGTATCCAGCCTCCTGCTGACAGAGTGGAGATGACACCACAAGCTTAATCCGCACCCATCCAGGCTCCCAGCTGCCCTGACTTCCCCTCTGACCCTTGTGCAGTTTTCCTGGTTTCCCAGGCTGTCTGTTGGCTTCTTTCTTTCTTACACCCCATATTCAATCTGCTGCAGATCATCTTGGCTCCACCTTCAAAATGTTTCTGGCCGCTCCCACTCCCCCTGACTTTTGGTCTCCCTCTAGGTAGGAGCCTGAGGCTTGCCAGTGACGGGAAGCCTCCTTCCCCTGGCCTCTCCTGCTGAGCCCCTGCCACTCTGCTCAGCTTTAGGCGAGGCTGCTTTCACACCCCAGGTGCACTCTTGCCTTAGGGCCTTGGCATTTGACATTCTGTCTGCCTAGAATGTTCTTTGCCCAGATAATCTCCCCTCTTTCAGGTCTTTGCTGGAGTGTCACCTTCACAGTGGGGCCTGCCCGCAGCCTTCTTTGCTGATTGTAGCCATCTTGTTCTCCCTCCTCCTCAGCTTGTGGATGCCTCACACACTCCAGATGTTTCTTACCTGCCCAGTTTATGGTCTGCCCCTCTGGTAGAAGGAATGTTGCATGAGGGCAAGGTTTTCTTTTCGTTTCCGTCTGTCCCTAGCACTGAAAGCAGTGCCTAGCACATCTTTGAGAACTTCCAGCTGCCAGGGTTTGCCTTCCTAGTGGCTTTCTCCAGAGCTTAGAAGGCTGTTTCTACTGAAGAGTACAGAACCAACATCCCCTGGGAGCAGCCTCCTGTGTAGATGTCCCAGCTCCCTTGCCTTCAGGTAAGAGGTTGTCACAGCACATGTTCTACACTATCTTCCAGAGCTCTGCAGGATGAAGCAACATGCACCCACAGTAGCTGCCAATTTGATACCCACTAGTCTGATCCTGCCTGTCTCTCTTCCTTCTCCCAATTCCTGTTCAGTAGACCTCTCAGATGAATTTCTTGCTCTATAGAAGCCTTTGCCTCAGGATCAGCTTTTGTATGAGCACACCATGCTCACTGATATATTTGGGAAATGCATGAATAATTATATACACCCAAAGAAAGATTACTAGAAATGTTTATTGAAGTAATACACCTATGACTTTTGAAAAGTAAGATGTCAGGTCTACAGCCAGGTGTGGTGGCTCATGGAAGACCCCATCTCAAACAATAGTAAAAATAAAATAGTATTGACCAAATTATATTGTTATATCATGTACCTATGTGAACATGTAACAAGAAATCACATTAATGTGTATAATTATAATGCACCAATAAAAAATATGGAAAAAATAATAATCAACTACTAGCCTATACTTGGTATTATTACAATTAGCAAACGTCGTCTGTACAAAAGTGATACAGCTATTTCCACTCCCCAACCCACTCATAACCTCAATTATGAGTAAGCCAAGAATGAGGTGGGCCTCTCCCACAGCAATGGAAAAGCTGAGAAGGTGCGGGAAGATGGGGCTAACTATGGGGGCCACTGCCTATGTGGTGAGGCCAGCAGAGGGTCCCCCTGAAAAGGAGAGGTACTGAGTGAACCTCTAGATCTTTATGTTCTCGGGTTTCGGGAGGCGTGGACTCACATATAATGGATGTAGGCAAGAAGACAAATAATACTACTGTCTGGTCAAGGATTTGTTTGAAGATCCATGATTATCCCCATCTGGTAAGCCACCAGGACTCCTCATCCCTATAAGACACTTCTTTGTAATTATTTTCCTCTCTGATGGTGTGCCAGGACACTGGCCCAGAGAAAGCCAAGTGGAAAGAGGTCCATTCAGTGATGAGGAACCTAAGACTCGGGGCCAAGGATTGAAACCAAGCAAACTGGTAATTTTTTTGTTGGCGAAAACATCTACACTTTCCTACTAATGTGGTTTCTTTTCCGCAAGTGGCTTCTACAGAAGCTCTCCCAAAGAAAAGTCTCATTGTTTCTGTACTAAATTTACGTGACGCCTATAGCAAACTCAAGATTGAAGCAGCTCACTGGTAGGCACTGGGGGGAGAATGGAGCCATCTTGAGGCGTGAGGGTGTCTTTGAACAAAGCTTTGTGGCTGAGCTCTGGTTTGCATGGTGTTCCACTGGTAGAGGGGCTCGGTGTGAGCCCCTACTCCTACGCCAGTGGGCTTCCGTATAATCCAGAATTGTTTTTTATATTCAGCCCATTTTTATTGAATTTGAGCAATGCATTACCAGTTAACCTCTGCTGCATTTATTAGTAAACACAACAGTAAGACAGCACAGCACAAGATTCCGTTTCACAGGAAGTCAAAATCAAACCCCAAATTCCTGAAGAGGCTCAGGGCCCTCCCTGTATTTCAAAGTAAAATGATAGGTTTTCATTTTGGAATATAAAGAGAGACACTTTGAAGACCACATAATAGCTTTAGGGTTTTTTTATTTTTGTTTTTGGTTTTGGGTGTTTTTTATTTTGTTTTAGATAGAGACAGTAAAATGATGTCTCATTAATTCAGACTGATTTGGTAAGAAGTCTGAACTGGAAAGTCTGGGTTGGAAGTAATGCTATTTTATTACTGTAGGTCTCCCCAATGGTCCTTATTAAATTTGAATTGTAAAGGAGGACTGCTCTTAGGGAACCTGTTTTAATGAAAGAATTATTTTAAGTATGTATCATTATCATTTGAGAATACATTATTATCTGATACTTAGGTGATTTAAAAGTACTTAAAAGGGGCTGGGGTTGTAGCTCAGTGGTAGATCGCTTGTCTTGCATGTATGAGGCCCTGGGTTTGATCCTCAGCACCACATAAAAATAAATAAAAATAAAGATATTATGTCCATCTACAACTAAAAAATCACAGTACTTAAAAGAGACTGGGTGTGGTGACACATTCCTGTAATCCCAGCAGTTCAGCAGACTGAGGCAGGAGGATCACGTGTTCAAAGCTAGCCTCAGTGACTTAGGCCCTACGCAACTCAATGAGACCCTGTCTCAAAATAAAAAGGGCTGGGGATGTGGCTCAGTGGCTCTGCACCCCTGGGTTCAATCCCCAGTGCCAAAAACAAAAGAAAAGGTGGGATGTCCACACTGTGGTGTATTATTCAACCATGGAAAGGAACGAAATTGTGATACAGACAGCACGAGCAGATGGACACTGTGTGGTCATTTTGTGCATGAAGAACCTTGAAGGCATGCTAATTACAAAAAGCCAGACACAAAAGGCCATATATTGAATGATCCCATTTATATGAAAAGTCTCCAGGAAATGGGAAAATCCTTAAGATAAAAAATAGATGAGTGGTTTCCAGGCATAGGGAAGAAGGGGATTCAGTGGTGGAGTTGCTTTTTGGTTAATGGAAATGTCCTGAAATCAGCGGTAATGTTTGCACCAACTAAATATACTCAAATTACTGAACCATGGGCTAGCTTGGGATTCCTCACATCATCGTGGCTGGGTTTCCAAGGCAGGCATCCCAAGAGAGCATGAGGGTGGAGACTTGCCCAGCATGTGCAAGGCCCTGGGTTCAATCCCCAGCACCACAAAAAGAAAAAGACAAGGGCTGCCTATGTGAAATAATCACCCAGCATTCACTGGCACCTAACGCTATGCCAGGTGCTATTCTAAGTGTCATATGTACATTACCCACTTGAGTGTCACTCAATGCATGAGAAAGCATGAGCCAGATGGAAGGTGCATGGCCATTCTGTGCATAGCCCAAAGCCATGCAGTGTCACTTCACAGCATTCTAATTGTCAAGGCTGTCACAAAGTCCCAACCAGGTCAAGAAGATGGGAGTAAATTCTACCTTCTGATGCAAAGTAACAAGGTTCTTGAAGGACATGCAGGATAGGGAATATTGCTCTGGCTATTTTTGGAAAATAGAGTCATTCAACTTTTATGCATAGACAGCTTCATTCTTTAAAGAAAAAACACATTTTTTAATACTGAAAAGTTCCAAGAAAGGGAGAAATGATCAACTACTTCCCAGGTACTAGATATTTTTCAAAGATTGTGAGTGTGTTTGTATATGCATATATATGTATATATAATTAGAAAAATAAACCATATTATTTTGCATATCCTAGGGGGAAAAGTGTCGCATTTTACATGCACCTTGCTTTTTAAATACTACATCTTGGAAGTTTTCCCCATTTTATGTGCAAGAATAACCACATTCTTTTAAATGGTGACATAATTCAAATGTATGGCTGTCCCAAAGTATATTTAACTAGGCTCCTGTTGAGAAACATTAATTGTTTCTGGTTTATTGCTATTGTAACCTGTTCAGCAGGAAACATCCTTGTATATTTTTCTTTTCTTGGCATACATTTGTGAGTGTATTTTGCTATTTTTGTGGGGGGTACTGAGGATTGAACTCAGAGGCACTTGACCACTGAGCCACATCCCCAGCCTTATTTTGTATTTAGAGACAGGGTCTGAGTTGCTTAGTGCCTCACTAAGTTGCTGAGACTGGCTTTGAACTCGCTATCCTCCTGCCTCAGCTTCCCAAGCTTCTGGGATTACAGGCCTGTGCCACTACTACCTGGGAGTGAGTATATTTTCTATGGTAAATTTCTAGCAATGGAACTGAAGGGAAAGAACGGAACAAGAGATAGGTAAGTGAAAAATGAAAGAGGGAGACCTGGCAGAGATACACATGAGAGTTTATTTGTCAGAGCTGACAAATAAAGGCCATTTCTCTATAGGAGAGAGAGGCAACACAGGCTTGGGTTCTGGGACTTTTATAGGGAAGGCTCAGGAATCAGAGCTGGGCAGGTCCGAATGTGGGTGGTTAAGGATTGGGTTGGTATGAGGGAGTGGAGCCTTTCTCAGAAATGCCATCCAGATGCTAAGCAAGGACTTTATAGGAACTGCCTGAGGAAAGGATATGAATTTTAAAATTTTGAATAGCTGGACACAGTGGTGCACACCTGTAATCCCAGCTGCTTGGGAGGCGGAAGCAGAGGATCACAAGTTCTAGACCATCTTAGGCAACATAGCAAGACCATATCTCAAAAATTAAAAGGGCTGGGGATATGACTCAGGGATAGAGCTCAATCTCCAGTACTAAAATAATAATAATAATAATAATAATATAAAACTTTGAATAGATGTTGAAAATTACCTATTGAAAAGACAGATCCAATGACCATGCGTGTCAATGACTGATGAGTCTACTGTTTGCCCACAAGCTCACCCACACTGTATTATCAATATGTTTCATCACTTTCCAACCAGGTAAAGAACAACTTCTGGTTTTGCTTGCCCCCCCCCCCGGGTTTCTTTAGTGTGAGTGCTATGAGCCTGCATTCATTTTGAGAACCTTTACACGGAAAAGGTTCTACCCTGGAGAGTAGCCCCTGCTTCTAAGAGGGACAGAAGATGGCCAGTCATGTCCTGGTAGTGGTATCAGCCCTAGAACCAACCTGCCTGGCTGCTATGAGTTAACGAACAGCCAGAATAAACATCCCAAAGAGCTTAACCCTCAGAGTTCCCTACTTGCTACGACAAGCGCCTGGTCATAAACCCCCGGAATATTAATAGTTCTGACCATAAGGTCCTTGCTTAGCCTCTGGATGGCCATCTTAAGTGACAGCCACCATTTTAAGGAAACAGTTTTGCTTTCCCACCCAAGGGCCTTCTGAGAAAGGCCCACCTCTCCCTCATACCAACCCAACCCTTAACTGCTCGTACAAGGACCTCCTCTGCTCTGATTCCTGAGCCTGCCCTATAAAAATCCCAGACCCCAAGCCTGTGTTGCCTCTCTCTCCTACAGAGAGATGGCCTTTATTTGTCAGCTCTGACAAATAAACTCTCGTGTGTATCTTTACCTGGTCTCTGCCTTTCACTTCTCGCTTACCTGTCTCTGGTTCCTCAATTTCCCTCCATTGACCGTGATCTGTTTAGAAACAATCACCATATTATCCACTCAGACTTATCAGACCAGACACTATTCAGTGCTGGTTCAGTGATACTGTCCCCTGTCAGTTAACTGTGAAAACCCAAGAATGTTTTTTAAGAGAGTGCTAATTAAGGCGAGGAGAGAGCTTTCCTTATAGAAAGGGTTTTGCTACCTCCTCCATATGAATCAGGATAGCCTAATTATCCCAGCAGGCCCTTGCTTTCATTTCCATTTATGACAGGGTTTGGTGCAGTTAATTGGACCATTGGGCAGCACCCCTTTTGATAATCGTGGCTAGAAATTGCTCCCTTGGGTTTGAGGGTCTTCATTTTTTATTCTGAGGACAGGGAATGGAGGAAATGAGGCCGAGTGAGGACAGAATGTCCTCCATTTTTTAGCTCTACTCTCCTGCCACGCAACA